GCTATGCAGACGACAGCGTGCAAAAAAAGAACAGAGCATTGGCGCGATAGCACAAATTGAAATCACCTAGTCCTCGGACGTTCACACAGCGATCAAAACAACAACAAACAAGGGATATTTTTTTGAAATTAAAATGCTTCATTAATCTGACAAGTTGCCATACATTACATGTGAAGTCGTCCACGAGTTACTGAATTACTTCTCATCGGAGAATAGGGTGTCCTATATAAACTTCTAGGGACGAATAAAATACTTGGCAGGCTTCAAATGCTTGACATAAGACTAGGAGCTTCAAATTAGTAAGACAAAACGTTCACCATCATGATGTTATCGGGAATGCAACTGAACAGAGAGGGACCCTCCTTTGGAAGTCTACGAGTAACAGTCTTTAAGAGCAACGGGTAGCTCATCTGGAGAAAAAGAGCTGCAAAGTGCTACATAGTAGAGGCTTACTAAATAGAAAATAGAGTGAGATACACAGTGGACTTATTGCTTGCAAGGTCAGGCATTAGTGTACAGGCAACTTTCTCGCTTGTGGTCTACCTATCACGGCGAAACAGTCGTGCTTTGCATCCCGACGTTGATCGGAAGGCTTGACTCCTTCTTATAGTTCTTCATTCAGAGGGTTTCCTCTGCGCCGTAGACGATTCTATCGATCACGTCCGAGCCCATAGTAAAGCTATGATCCTGATTAGCTGCCTCATATCGCCAGCTACCAAATCTGAATTACAGAATACAATAGCTGAAGTTGACTCGATCTCATTGCGGGATGGCCAAACGAGCAAGTTAAAAGCAAAAAAAGGAAACCTTCCGCGAGAGTAGATGTTCGCTATTTCGAGTGCTTTGTGAGCTTTTCGTAATTCTTCATCTCGACTCAATGTTGGAATGGGATATCCATACGGAAGAACATGCACCCATGTAGATTCTATTCTGCTTGTTGGATAGATTATGCCGTGCTCCACCAGATCTAAAACAATTTACTGACTGCAGTTGTGGAACTATTCACCTTGCTGCTAAAAGTGGCTGAGGTGTCTGTGACCGTGGTTGGTGCATATATTTGTTTGGCCTATCAGTCCGAATGGGAACGGGCTCTTACCTTTGATAGTGCGGTCTACCATTGTGTCCTCATCAAAATGTTCACTTGAGTCCATGCCAATCTCCACCAGTACAGACCAGAAAAGCACAGCATTTGGTGTGAGTCGTTCATTGAAATTGGACAAGAATGTACACCTTTAAAAAATGAAAATGTGGGTTATTATTCTCCGAGCTGGAAACAAGGAGAAGGTTGTGCAAAGTCGGCGTCATTTTCTATCAAAAGTACTGTAAGCAAAGGAAAAAAGGAGATAACCTGTAAAAAATGATCTCTGGTTGGGGAAAATAAAGCCAAGAAAGTTGTTCGGTGAATTCTGGTTGAGGCCGTCGCATACCGATTCCGACAAGGACAACCTTAAATAGTTCTCGCAAGGTTATCAAGGATGAGGACCGGAGGAAAGAGAACACTGATGAGATTGATCGAATTTCTCATCTTTCAAGGATTATCACGGAAGGATCGAAGAGAGACAGCTAGTAGAGCTGTTAGCACGCTGAGCCAGTGCGCAAATCACTCGGCAAGAAGTATGGCAAATTTTGAATGCCCTCAGGCCTGTCGACTAAAGGTGTATTTATCGCGACTCCCAATAGCGCTTGTTGCCGAACAGTGATAACAACAGTCTCTCATCAGTATCCTCCTTTCAAAAATCAAGAGCAGGGTTATACGCAGGACGACTAGTAAAGGGTAAGTACTCTGAGAGTTTTGGTAGTTCAAACATTTTATCCACCATACTTTCATCTTTCCATAACTGATTATTGAAAGAAGGTGATTAAGAACGGTAGGATAACTGGAAGTATTTTGGTCTATAGCCCCGGTTGATGCGATGAGAGTGAGAATGGCAAAATAAATCCGGTAAAACTAGGAAGCAAAACTAAACGAAAATAAAGCTGGCGAAATGATTTTGACTCTTACATTATATTACTACTTTTTTTTCTGCGAGCAGAAACAAGAGGCGATTTCCTTTCTCAAAGGTTCATTACCACTCTACGTGAGGTCTCTTGCCAACTGGAGCCATTGAGGAAATTTTCACCTTCGAATGCCTCAAATTGATCTTTGGACCAAGTGACGTCATTTTGCTCAGTTCTACAATAGGCATCGTCGAGATTACGTAGTCGTATTCGGTGGATCTTCCATTGCTGAGATGAACCTGAAACTTCGTTGTTGAGTTGAAGCAACCAGTATCGTTCCATCAAAACCATATCAGCACTTTGCCACACATGCATTTACTTTTGCCCGCTTCATCGTATTATTAACCATAGGCAACCTCTGCCACCTACCATTAGTGCCCCGTCCCTCTCCCCCAAATCACCTTTGGAGCTGACTTCCTACAGTAGCTGCTGCCTGCACTATAAACTTGTTGGCCTCCCTCTTCCAAACTTGATGAAGCATTTTTGCGGACAGACCTACTGCGCATACAAGCCGACGAACCGACACACCAAGTCAGCGTTTTATATACAAGAGGTATCGTTCGATAATTATTGTATTGACAGCGACGTCGTGTTCTCCTGCTTTACTGACTGATAACAAAGCGTAATCATAATCAAGATAGACTTCAAAGGCGGATTCTGGAGGCGAAGTCACTGGAAATAGCTATCTCTGGAGCAACTCAGCGCCGTCAACTTTCATTTTTCCACCGAGAAGATGACAAGGTTGTCCGTTGTAAACTACGACACCCTTCCCAGGTAATCTTTTACATCTTCGTAGAACATCGTGAACAACTACTCGATGTAATACACCTGCGACCAGAGCAAATTCCCTACACTACACTATTGAGCCGTTAGAAGCACATCAACAACCACTAACTAAGGCGTCAGTCCGCTCTATGCTATATCACGAAGAACTCTCTTATGTTAAAAATGTGGTTTGTATAGTCGATCATCTAAGGATTTTTTCCTTGAAGGCAGCGCCCGCGTACTCCTCAGATATCGTAGCTTTGTCGACAAGGGTGGAGGATGTACTAATTTCGCAGCTCAAAAATACGAGAGGATGGGGCCACCCGCTTGTGAAGAGGATGCCGCCCCGCCCACCTGGCTGCCATAACTGCTTTGGCTTAGCCTTTAAAGGCTGAGCCCGCTTTCAAGAATAATGAGTTATGGAGCTCATATAATACGTGATCCAGTAGTGAAGAAAAAAAAACAGAAAAAATCATGGAAAATGCCCTATATAGAACCCTATGCTGGCCAGGTGGGCGGGGCGGCCGACTCTTCACTAGCGAACGGCGCTATCCTCTCGCCTTTTTGAGATGCAAAACTAGTACATACTGCATCCTCATAGGGAGGGCTATGATATCCAGAGAGAAGGCGCGGGAACATCAAATGAAGTGGGCGCTGCCTTAATATGGCGGCTATAGGTGCTTATGGATGGCTACCTTCCGAATCACTTTCGCAATACTCCCCTGATTTTTTGGAGTTGACGCGTATTTTTTAAGTATGTCAGGAAAAAGTCACCGTTTTTGCCCTTGTATCAATTCGAGTCACAGGTGCACCAAAATGGAACCAGTGCGGTGGTAATTCGGACGCGATCGTCTTCCAAACATCACCGATTCCTCGACAATCTCGGGGATACCTGAAGAACGAAAGTGGCGGCAGAATCTTCACAAAAGAAGATACAATCTCCACGAAGAAAATTTTACTCACCTAAACATTGATTTTGTTTTGGCACTGTCCTCATCATCAAGCTCAAGCGCTTTTGCGGGTTAGTCTACAGCGTCTTTTCAAGTCTTCAATACTGGTTCTAGGCACTCGATTCTCCACCCAGACACAGTTCATCTCATTCAGAGGCACGGTCCAGACCTTAAACACACTCTATCACCACACAAGTTTTGTTTGCTCCAACTTGTACTAGCCTTTTCATTGTATGGCCGGATAAAAATCGCCTGCAGCGTTTCTCCGAAGGTGTTCGCTGTGAACTCGTCGAAATTTGCTGCAGTCTCAGTAGATGCTGACAACGAGGAAATTTCATCAAGACACCTGAGTTTCACCTTCTCTGGAAAATACGGTATCGAATCCTGCACTGGATACGGTACGTAGTTGGCCTCCACGTTGTCATCATCTTGAATCACATGCCTCATATATGCCTGAATGAGAAGGTGATTTGAACTTCCGCGAGTTACCATGAGACTTTCAACGTTTCGTAGAATTGTTTTGAAGGCAGTTGGCACGATAAATCCCTGAAGACGAGCGAGATTAAAACGTCTGGCAGGACGGAATTCCGCGACCCTGAGCAGGCGCTGCGTAACACCTCCTTCAAAGAACCGAACGCCCACCGTCCCCTCCCGCCCACAAATGGACAACCGTACCTGATGCTCGTATTGCTTCATTTGCTAAGTAAAATATGAAGCGAAGGGATTGGTATGAAGCGGCCGTGGTGCTGCCTCGGAGTATATCTATGCAGTCGTATCTAAAGTAGCTGTTATTGGCACGATGCCTACGGGAAACTCGTCCGAAATTGCTTTCTAGGTTGAAGAACGAAGGATTATATCCGCTTCTCTTCGTTTTTATCGCCACTTTCCCACTATGCAGCACCCTGCTAGCATTTCAGAACAAGCAGCAAATTATCGTACCATATGCCTTCAAATATTTGAAAATCATCGATAGCAACTAGCGGGTGCTTTCAGCTCTATTAAAAACGTACTTTGACACAGCGGGGCACGTTGTTCCAATGACGTACTGCTCGATTAATGATATGTGTGAACTTTGGATATTTGGAATGACCTGAATGGTAGAAGATCCGTTTGGTGCAACTAGCACTATTTAACACGTTCAGGACCGCGTGACACACATGGTGTGTCATACTTCTTTCTCTCTCTGCCGTTTCATACGTCTTACTCATGCTCCGAAGTTATCAGAACACGTTTGCTAGGCACAGAATACAACATATCTCATAGAAAAGTGAAAGAAACAGATGAAATTGCTGATTATCGGTTTGAAAAGTAACGAAACTATGGGAGATTCTCGGACAACGGCGACCCGGAGTGTGTTAAGTTGAGCATTGCATAGTGGTAAAAACAGTCCCATAAGTACAGTACGCTCGGCTTCTTGGTAACTCTGCGGGGAAAGCTAATATTTTTGAAGGCAAAGCCCGCGTTCTTCGATGTTCCTACGCCTTTCTTATATGTCGTAGCCTTGTCTAGGCGGATGGAGGGTGTGCTGATTTCGCAGCTCGGAAATACAAGGGGATGCGCAACCCGCTTGTGAAGAGGTTGCTGCCCCGCCCATCTGGCTGCCACAACTGCTTTGGCTTGTTGTTCAGTTCAAAAGGAAGGAGGAAAGGCTCTGAGATAATGGAAGATTCAGCAACTACTACAACTAATTATTGGAAACTCACCAGTAACATGTACACCGAGATCCCATGTAAAACCTCTTCGATCGGTGACTGAACGAGCCAGTCCACCTACTTCAATCTCCTTTTCAATTACGGTAACCTAAACAGCGAAGCTCTGAAAGATCGTCTCCCTTAATTGAGAGGACATATATTGGTGAATCTCACCTGTGTTGATTCAGAAAGACTCCCTTGCTCAATTAATTCGTGCAACCGATAGGCGGCACCTAAAGCAGTTGGACCGCTGCCAATAATTACAAACTTTTCTCCATCATTGTGTTTCCAATTGAGTCCAGATCCATTAGCCTCTTGTTTGATCTGAAACATCCATGAAGGAGCTTTTTTGCCGAAACTATCTACCAACTTCACTTGCCAAGATCTGAGCCCGTAGCTAACGTGCACGAAATCTGAAAAACACGAAAAAGCTAGTATAAAACTGAAAACATTATATATCAAGCCTCAACACTGAAAGGAATGAAACAGGGTTGAAGTTCATTCGACGCTTGATCGAACCCTTTTTTGGGTGCAGGTGGATGTTCTGCTTGAATTCAATATCGTTGGTGGCTTAGTGGACGCGATGTGGCCTTTACAGTGATATAAAGGAGCCATCCGATGTACATGTCCTCATCCAGGAAGAATCTGAAACCAATAAACCGTCCCGGAGGGTAGAAGACGTGGTTGACCTGGTGAAGCGGGATCTGACATTCGGAAAGCATGGGTGCCGTCAAAAGCCTCGCCACTTGCCGCTATTACACTTCCGCCTCCAGCGCTTCAAGCTACTGTGCCCCCAAAGAAACCATAGAAACTGTTTGAATACTGCGACAGATTTTTGCCACTCATCAAAGGCCAGTGTTTCACAGGCGAGCCCGCCGTAAAATGAGTGTAAATTTATGTGATTTGAGTAGCCGTTCAATGCGCCACACATTCAAATTGCTGCCTAGATATTCCAAGGCCAACTCAGCTGGAGAAGGGCGGCTTGGACCATGTTTCCAGTGATGCTTTGCCAAACTAGCTATTATAGAGCACAGTGACACTCCTTTTTCGGAGGAAGCCAATAGAATGGACCATGGGTGAGGCTAGGTTGACCAACCTGCGCGACCCACAATCCATGTCACTTCCTTTTCGGGAAAAAAAAGCCAAAAAAGTTTAGGATAAATGGACCGTGCGGTGAAACGGCTGAGGGGTAAAGACACCAGTGGTAAGCCACCCATCAGCGAGTACAGTGTGCCACAAACGCCTTTTCCATATCTTGCGGCCAGTCTAACTTACAAAAATTGGATCAACATATCGGAAAGAACAGTCCTTTTCGCTGCAGTAGCACCTTCGAACATCTAGAGACCGCCACAACTTCAGCCTTGTAATGCCAACGCATTGCAAAGATTGTTAGGTTGCTAAACCTGGGCCAGCTCCACAACTCAACTCCAAGGGAGTTCATTTTAGCAGAATACCAGTTGAAAAAGGGTTTTTGGAGACATTCAGTGTCTCGAGTAAATATGTAGTTGTAGAAAGATGCGGCCATCCACAAAAGATTCTGGAACTTGAATTCTGTTGTGATTTTGGAAGTCGAATTTCTTGTGAATACACAAGAAGATGTAAAAACGAAAAGGATCAGTACCGTAGCAAAGAAAAGGAGAGGCTAGGTTCATGATAACTTTCTTAATATGCTCATTTAACTTAGCGTATATTTGATTGTTATTGGTCAAGGCACACATCAAAAATTGGCAGATCCGAAAAAGGAAGATGGTTGTATTTACCTTTGAGAAGAATATTTTCCTTTTTGACTTTCTCAGTTTTTCCCTTTCCAGTTATCAGTGGCGCTACCAGGCCTTCCTCCGTTCTCAGGAAAAAAAAGTGGAGGAATTTTCGAAAGAAAACTGTGGAAAACTGATAGGAAATTTATGAGAATTAAGGAAGATAGTGAGTAGGACGAGGGATGAGAAGCGAAGGGTTGTACCAGAGCAAGAACTTTTGGATGGAGGAGGGTCATGGTCTCTCAACAAATTTCTGCCCCGCTGTCTGTTTGAATGGTGGTTGTGTGCGCTTCGTTATGCGTGTCTGCCATGAATGAAAGCTTTACAAGAAAGGGATAAGAGGCAAGCAAGCTTGAGCGAAGTTGTTAAAACTGCTTGTCACATTGGAGTGCGGTTGTCAATTTTGGCCGCCGATGGTGATGATACCAAATCCATAGCACCATATAAGACCCAGACTTGGCTTCTGGAGGTGAGCACATACGCAGGGCCTTTACAATGAAAAAGCAGAATGCGAACACAGTAGGGATAAGAAACTAAGGGTGAAGGAAGGGGAAAGAAAAAGAATAGAGCTGGATATTAGCCAAGGTGGATCGCCGGATTGACGCGAAACTAAACGACGGTGACACAAGGTCGTCAGATGGGGGTCGCGCATGACAAATGAGTAATGCTCGATCGGGGGTCGATAAACGGTGTGGATCTTCACCCTGGAAAGTCCTTATGCATTCTCCTTTTTGAATTGCTTGAAATGTCCCTTAAAGTCGTCTTTTGCACAATTCCACCCATTTGTGTTTCATTTTCCCCTCTCGGATGTTGTCGATTTCTTTCCCATGCCTGTCAGAAAAGCGTCTGGATTTGATTCATGTTGTGTCACAGGCTCTACCCATAGAATCGTACAGTCTCCAATCAATATGCCCAAAGCTAGGTATGTCTTGAATGTAACCGAGGCCGTCCGATTCACTAGGTTTTCTCTCGTTCGTTTAAGACGTTAACTCAGGAACCATGTCACTGCATTGATGCAATTGCCAAACGTTAGGTCGCTGTTGCGAAGCGCATTCTCGGCATTACTACATCATCCATCATTGGTCTTCCACTTGTTTTTTAGTATTACATCGACCTTTTGGAAAAACGTAATATAGGCCCCAGAAAACCCTTCGTCAAATTCTTAGAATTTGCAGGGTGCCATCTTGCATCACAGTCGTGGTGGTTTCATACAAGTAGGCATAACTCCGCTGAACATCATACTTCTTGCCTCTCCATTCACCTTCATTTGTACGTCTTGGCCTATGACATACGGTGCATAAAGTTTGGAGCGTGGACAACGATATGTTTAGCTGGCATTCGCCACTAAAGTGCGCTTGGCAACTACTTGCACAGGGCGCTTGCCGTTTGCTCGTTGTCTTTCCCATCTTATGCTCACACATGAGCGACGCCCGTAGCTCCCAACTACTGACTGTGAGTGCTCCCGTTTCGCTTAACTCTCGCCTCCTTGCGCAATGTGCGGCTGCGCACTCTCCCTGCACCCGTTTATGATCCGCTAGCCTTTGCTGCTGAGCGTGTTTCGCCCGCCCCCTCT